CACCAGTAGCTTGTTGAAACCCTTTTGCCACCCATGCCTCCTAGTCCTCTACCACAACTTCAACAACTTGCTTTTCATTCAGAGACAATAATCATTCTAAGTATTTACATCTTGTCAATTTTAACCATTCACTTAACTGCAGATAAAATACAATGATCTGGAGAACTATAAAACACTATAAAATCCAAACCAATGGCTCATTTATAAATTGCAGTCACTAAATTCTGTTCCACACATAAGCAACGTGAGAAAAGCTGATAAACAAGTGCCTCAAAATGCTCAGTCACCAGTATATCCACACATAGAAACACATTTAACTGTCAGAGTGGAAAACTCTAGCATTGAGTCATTCATAGCCTTTCTCTATAAAGATCAAACGAAAAGGCTCCATTTGTTTCCATTTTCTCCTCCCTTTGCTATTCTTTTTTTCCACTTCCCACCAATCTGACCCGGCCATAGTAACAAATCCAAAATTAAAATTCTTCTCCACCCGCCAAATTACCATCTGCCTTAGCAGAAAAGCTAATAAATGAGCTCATATAGAAAGCTCAGACAAAAAGAAACAGGTCAAGCTGAAAGTTTTCTACTCAGGTGGCTTCCAACCTAAATGAATCATTTGACCAGCGACCATTTCTTAAGTGTAATGTATTTGATTTTCATACGTGCTGTTGTGCTGTGAAGGTCTTACCAAGATGCCTTGAAAGAGCCAAAAGACTGTGGTTTATTCCTCCACTTTGCTACATTTAGCCAATCTAAAGAAAATCACTCTTTAGTCTATAAATTAGCATTACCTAATTGACAAGTAATAATAATTTCAGATGATTATCCATGTTAGCGTTAAATGGGAAAAAAATAATTGTGTCACACACAAGAATTTGAACATGTAGGGAGATACCAGGAATCCCATTACACTGAAAAGATGAAGTTCAAGCTCCTTCTCACAGCTTCTTGCATCAACTGACACTACAGCACCCACAGTCCTGGCTCTTTGGATGGGTTTGGATGTTCTTTGGATTCAAACGGTAAAAAGGAACAATTTGGTAATAGACAGGGTATCAGTGAGAACAGGAATTCTAGGCTGCACCAAAAGAAACATGGCCAGCAGGTCAAGGGAGGCAATTCTACCCTCTACTCTGCTCTTGTAAGACCCCACCTGGAGCACTATGTCCAGCTTTGGAGTCCTCAGCACAGGAAGGATGTGGACCTGTTGGAAGGAGTCCAGCACAGGGCCACAAAGATGCTCAGAGGGATAGAACACCTCTCCTATGAGGACAGGCTGAGAGAGTTGGGGTTGTTCAGCCTGGAGAAGAGAAGGCTCCAGGGAGACCTCAGAGCCTCTTCAAGTCCCTAAAGGGGCTCCAGGAGAGATGGGGAGGGACTCTGGATCAGGGAGGGGAGCCATAGGATGAGGGGTAATGGTTTTGAACTGAAAGAGGGAAGATTTAGATGAGATATTAGGAAGAAATTCTTTGCTGTGAGGGTGGTGAGACACTGGAACAGGTTGCCCAGAGAAGCTGTGGCTGCCCCATCCCTGGAGGGGTTCAAGGCCAGGCTGGATGGGGCTTGGAGCAACCTGGTCTGGTGGGAGGTGTCCCTGCCCAGGGCAGGGGGTTGGAGCTGAATGATCTTTAAGGTCCCTTCAAACTCTTAAGCATTCTATGATTCTGTAATTACATCTTTCTAGAAGTGCATCTAGGCCAGTGAAGCAGTTCTCGGTTCCTACTGATGTTGGTGAGTTTCAGCCATTTGAAATCTACACACAGTACCTTGTGTCACCATCCACTGAAGAGGAGCACAGGGATTGAAAGACAAGACCACAGATCTAAAGTATTTGCAGTTTTCCCCTTCCTTCCATCCAGTAATAGTACATCACACACTGGCTCCTTCTACTCTGTGTAACTATGTGGGAATTCAACCTTGGTATTTCATGCAGCCTGTAGTTTTAAAGTACAGATCTCTTATAAAAGTTTGTAAGAATAATACCACTCTGAACCACACTTAGCGTAAACCCAGTAAAAAGCACTTCCTTTCACTTTGCAAACAGGAACAGGGAGAGATACATAGAACAGCGCAAGCTCAGCCTCAGAAAAGATACAGCCAGTCCCCAGAACAGAGACTCCTTTCCTTACAGTTGTACTAAGTTTTTCAGAGGATAAAAAAAAACTACTCAAAAGCTGCAGTATAAAGACAGAATAGTGTAGTTTTTAATAGATATTATCAATTTTGATAGCTTTAGGAGAAAGACTAATAATCTGTTTACTAAAATGCAGTTGCTGAAGTGATATGCTTGCTCTTCTGATTCGGTGACAGTGATTGAGACAAGTTTGGTACCTCAGCAGTAGCTCATTTGAGGCCTAATTATGTCCAAAGGCTAGCTCTATTGGTAATTATTTCAGTATATCTAAAAAAACAAAACAGAAACAACAAACGCCTGGACAAAAAAAAAAAAAAACACCCACCAAAAAAAACCAAAAAACCCCACCCAGAATTAAAAACAAACAAACAAAAAAACCCCAAATAAACAAACAATAAAACCAATCCCCAAACCTCCCAGTTTCTCAGAATTTTGCACTGCCAATCTACTATCTTCCTGCCATATCATGGAGCCAAATCATGGACATATGAGCAAGAAAGTCTATGCTGTGATAAAGGTTTATAAACCCAAACAAATGCCTTAAGATGGAAGAGAAGGTACATAGCATGAGTTTTTAATATCTTTATTGACAAATCAACTGTTCTGTGAAACGTTTCCTTTTAGGAAGGGATGTTGAGAATCACCTGAAGCATGAGGTTGGCTTTATCTCTCTCTACTGACACACACAGTGACAGATGACTGTCAGCACGACCACTGACCACAAACTACTACTGTGCTGTTCGGCCACCAAGTTACAGCATTTTAGTAGCCCTTAGGGCACAATCCTTGCAACAATAACACAGAAATATTCCACATATTCTTTTGACAAAGTCAACTCATAAAGCTGCAAATTATACGGCATCCCCCTTTTGAAGAAGAATATAAAGATTAAAACCAACTTTACCTCAAGGATTCAGATAATGGTGTTAAAGTGCCATCTCCCCGATCTACCACACGGAAGAAATTCAACTGATCTCCTTCTCGATATACTAAGAAGGTCACTTGTTTGTTGGATGGTGCTTTCTCCCAGATCTCATCTCTGCTGGGATCCATGTATTCAGCCATCTCCCTGATAGGGTCTTCCACAGGAACTAGAAAGAGAAAAACCAGAATAAAACCAAATTATTATTATTATTGTTTTGATCATCTTTGTGAGTTCCCATTGTATAATGAGCTGAGCTCTACCAAATTATTATTATTATTATTATTATTATTGTTTTGATCACCTTTGAGAGCACAGCTCATTATACAATGGGAACTCACAACCTCACAAGATATACTGAGTGTTTTCCAAGTTAAAGTTATCAAGGGGATTTCTCCAGAGAGGTGGTGGAGTCTCCATCTCTGGAGACGTTCAAGCCCTGCCTGGACACGTTCCTGTGCAACCTGCTCTGGGTGACCCTGCTCTGGCAGGGGGTTGGACTAGATGATCTCCAGAGGTCCCTTCCGACCCCATAGCATTCTGTGATTTTGTAATTTTCATTCCTCTATGCATGATCCACATGACCAAGTTTATCATCAAACCGAACCAACACCTGGTTCTTACTAATCAGATTTTAAAAATTATTTGTGTAATGACATTGCAGGATCATTTTTCTGCAGGTGAAGAATTTCTGATTTTAAGACTTGATGATTGTACACATAGAATCATAGAATTGTCCAGGTTGGAAGGGACCTTTTAAGAATGAGTCCAACCATCAACCCAACACTGCCAAAACCACCACTAACCCACATCCCTCAGCACCACTTCAGCCTGGCTTTATATACCTCCAGGAATGGTGATTCCACCTCTTCCCTAGGCTGCCTCTTCCAATACTTGATAACCCTTTCAGTGTAAAGGTTTTTCCTAATACCCATCCTAAACCTCCTCTGCACACAAAGATACTTGTTTAAGGGTAAAAAAAAAAAAAAAAAAAAGAAAAAGGAGGGG